AATGACTCAAAAGAGCCAAGAATCAGGCATGACTACTTTTCGCAGCTAGGGTGGGTCACAATTTTCAGCGAGTATCGATTAATTTAATAAAATATTCCTAATACACTTGCTATCGTATGGACTCAACATGACGCAGACTGTAGAGCCATAAAGTCAATTGGATTATTTTTGATACCTTAAAAGTGCTCTTGTGTCATTTTGAAGTTTCACTATATGGCAAAGAGTGTGCAGGATATTCTTTAAAATGTCGCCTTTTGTGCTTTAGAGAGTAAAACACATTGTGGCTCAAAACAGCATGATTTTTTGGGGTATTGTTTTGGGTGAACTAACCCTGTAATTCCTTTGTTTGCCAAAAATTGGGAAAATTCAAGACAAATCGATGCAAATAGTGCTGCAAACCTAGACTTGGAATTTACAATGACAAATCTATGAAGCTGACAAAATATGTCTCATGAAGTCGTTCTGTATACGGACACGCTAATTGAGGCTCTTTGAAGAAAGGCACTGAACTAACAGCCCAGCCACATCTGTTTCCCATTGCACATCGCTCTCAGAGACACAGAAGAGGATCTGTCCTCAGCCGGGACATTTCTCTGTGAAGCTCTCCCTGCGCTTAGCGAGATGAGACTGTATGATTCAAAGTCCATGCAGGTTAACGCAACGATGACATAGGTTTTTCAACCTGCAGTGCACACCTAGATTTTCCAGTTAAATAACTCCACCACTCACAGTCATACAGACCGAGTCCCTCCCTCGTCTCATGAATCACTACAATCAACTGGAACTGAAATGAAAGTCACAGCTTTGTCATGAGATTTCATAAAATGATGCATGACGTGACACCACTCACTGCGTCATTAGATTAGTAGAGTTTCGTAAAAAAACAAAAACTTTACGCTCATGTCAGGTCACAAGTCAACTTTTCTGTCAAGTTTCCAAAGCATAAATTTGACTTTCAGCAACTCCTAAATGCAATACAGATGAATTAGCCACAGGCATATTTTCATATCTTTCAAATGTTTGTTCAATGCTTGAACACGAAACTGGGAAGTCTAAAGTACAAAGAATGCTAGTACAAGACAAACTGGTTCCACAATGTGACTCGACCTGCCATCTTCCCGTTTCTGTCTCCCTCCTTCACTCCTTAATGTGCAACAAGAGCGTTTCTTCAGCATCTCCGCCTCCCTTCGCGGTGCTCCCTCTCTAGAAGCTATCAAAAATTCACAGACTGTGGGCAACTGCCAGCTGAAGAAACTGTTTAGTCAGCAACAGAGGCAGGGTGGGAGAAGAGGGGCGGGGGAAGTAGCAGAGGGAGGCAAAAGGAGGAGGCCTACAAAGCCGTGTGTGATTCGTCTTCTTTTTCTCTCACAGACAAACGTAAAAAAAAGTTAAACCAAAGCTCACAATCCCTCAAAAAGGAGTGTTAGCAAGTTAAACTATTTATGATTGTGGTAAAACATCACAGTTTGACTATTATGACCTGTTTGATTGACTATCAAATAACTTAATTCTCAAGCTAACAGGGTAAGGATGCGGTACCTATTGTTTCTATCTTTTTCTAACTTCCTCTATCCACACAGGCTGCTCTATTTCCTGTCATCCACGTCCCACTTACACCAAAGCATTTTCATGAGGACTCAGTTTCACTTTTAGTTTTTCTTTACTACACTTTTATAATTTAAAAGTAAATAATTTAGTCCAGAGGTTCCCAAACTCAAAAATCAAACTTAATTGAGAGCCGTGGAAAGAAAGTAAATGTTGCATTATATCCAACTAAAGTGTAGCCTACATTTAAAACAAATCTAATTAATTTATATTCTCTAAATTTCAATTTAATGGCTTAATTTAGTGCTTTAATGGCATGTTTTTTCCTTTTTTAATCCTCTTTTGTGATAAGCCAAATCAAAGGTCATCAGTGGCCAACCAGGCCCTGGTTTTGGCACCTCTATTTTGTCTCTTCTGTCCCAATGACCCACTGTGCATTGTTCATACTGATTTTTTGGAACTATACAGAGTCTATTGTAAATAAGTAGCTCTTTTTCCTAAAAGCAGAGTTGTAACTGTTTGTAAGGCTTTGTAAAACAGTGAAGACCAAAACATCAAGTAATATGAACAGTCAATTTGTTAAACCTTAACTAAACAAGGAGACCAATGACCAAATAAACAGTAGCATTAAAGGGACAGTTCACCCAAAAATGTTAATTTGCTCACCCTCATGTCACTCCAAACCTGTAAGACTATTTCTTATGCAGAACACAAAAGAATTTATATTGAAAAATGTCTTTCATTGTATGGACAAAAAGATTTTAACAATATTTTTCACTTTTAAATTAAAGAAAATCATACAGGTTTGGAATGACATGTTAATTAAAGTTAATAGTGTCCAAACTTTCCTCATTTTTGGGCAAACTATCCCTTCAAAAGAGTCAACCTTCAACATCCATTTCTCAGTTTGGCCATAAATCAAAAAAAAAAAAAGTAAAGTCCGTCTCTTAAATTTGAATGAAACATGCACATAGTAGCATCCATCTGCAAACTAACTTTCTTAAGCCCCACAGGTACAGTGTCTCACCCCAGACCCCAGGACCAAACCATGCTTCCCATTCCCTATGAGAGAGAGGGAACATAATCTTATCTAAAATAGACAAGTTAAAAATAGCTCCAGAGCGAAACAGGACGCCCATCTCTACCCATGGATGAGTGAACAGAACACCCATCACTAGGGGCAAAAGGCACGGTGAGGTGACCAACTAGTTTCTCCATCCAGTCCGGGACTTCAACAGGCCAGTCCTTCTGTCTTTACATTGGGCAAACAATCACAGAGAGTTTTGATCACACCGCCGAGAGTTGATTTTAATTAATTTATATTGATCAAGATTAATCAAGATTAACAACCTTAATTTCCAAGGCTGCATCTCGATATTCCAATAGACCAAAATAAAAGCACAAAACAAATCCATCCACTCAACAGGTCTGTTTGTTGGGCTTTGAGACTCTTTATATACTTTAGAGTGTTTGAATACAAAGTGGAGTAAAAGCTGATGGCCCCTTTCTATCACTATCAGCACGGCAGCTCTGATGATCACAATGGGTTTCCTCTATTCAACTCTGGCGACTCCCTGCTGAGGACAGAGGAGATTACAGCCCAGACCACTGGTTGACTGTTCACTAGAACATGCCTTTGAATTTTCAATGGTCTTCTTGCTTTACGCGTCTGAACAAACACATCTCCACCCTACATCAGCCTGCATTGTGAGAGCAGCAGCTATTAGGAAAATGAGAAAAGGAGGATTTGGGTTTTAACCTCACCTCTCTCTCTCTGCATTAAGAAAATGGTAGACGTCGATGATTAAAAATCTTAAAATTTATACAAAGTAATAGAGAAACAAAGTAGTAAAATATTTGCTTAAGGTGATGAAGCAACACGTTCTCATCCTGGTTCAGTGCACATTTACAATGGCTTAATCTTTTAAGATCACATTGCAATTGCACAAAGGATTGACTTATCTTTGATTAGCAAAGTTTTTCACAATTAAAATGTGATGATTATGGGCTAAATTAATTTGCGGATGATACGTTTCAAACATAAAACCTCTCAATCAGAGGTTTTCCACATTTACAGACTCAGTATAAAACTATATATTGCTTATCAGATAATTTGCTAGAAATATCATTTAATTCTATATTTTATATAGCCTATGGTCTCTCCGGATCCCCTGGAGTACCTGCGGGTCCCCCTGATTGTAAATTAATATACCATAGCTTACATGCGGTAGGTCATCATAAAAACATCTTTGTAATTTATTTCCCTCTGAGTTCACAGTAGTACCTTAAGAGTACAAATACTACTCTAAGGTACTAATATGCAACATTTATGGTTAGATAGTTGTCAAAAGTTGTCTCTTTAAGGGTACTGCCACAGTGACAAGCTGTTGTAGCCTATGGCAAAGGTAAAAAAAAAAATCATGTTTTCTGACAGTGCAGGGGATGAAAGTTACTGTACAAAACAACCATGCTGTAGTTAAAAGTCAGCGGATTGAGAGGACTGAGCGAGTGAATGATGCTGCCACTGAAGGCCTCCTGGAGCCCAGTGTTGAATTTGGTAATGGAATGTGAACTGCTCATCTGGATCTCTGCACATTCTGATTCTCCAAAGAGACGCGAGAACCAACAGAGGATGATGGGAGGAGGAGGAGGGCACAGGCACAGCCTCTATCGAAACACCCGCACGAAAACGATGCATCCTCCTAGTAATTATAGTCATCCAATCATCAAATTGAGATGGCTTAAGTTAAATGGAATCATCGTTGTGGCTGCTTAGTTTAAATATAAAACCCGACTTTTCTTGTTGTAACTTTTCGGCGTTCATCGCATGCTGTAAACCCAACCCAAAGATAGTCACGACGACAGCGAACTTCCTCCTTTAAAACTTTTGACATTCCCAAGCGTTAAGTTTGCATAGTGTGACAGACGAAACGATGAGGGTCTTGTGAACAATAATGACTCGTCGACGGTGAAAAAAAGTCGAAAGCGCAAATAAAACGTAAATACAACATGTCCCGACAAGGTCAACATATAAAGGGAAGCGTGTCCAACCCCCCCACGCGTTAGCCTCGTTCAAAGTTATGATGTGGATGCTACGGTTCACTATAAAATACTCACTTTTGGTGACAATATAGGTGCGAAACATTTTGTCAAATGGGAGATAAAGCCATATTAACGACAGTGAGTTTTATGCTGGTTGAATACATGTGCGCTGGTTAGACGCGAGTGAATTCCTGTAGTCAGGCGTTCAACCTTTGGATGCGAGAATGAAACGAGGAAGCACACAAACCCTGTGCGAGGAAAAAAAAAAAGTTCGGACATCATCTCAACTCAACATCTTCGGCCTTCCAAGTAAAAAAACTTCCGACAAAGTCTCCATCCACCAAAGTTTGCAATCGGCAGGATGGAGAACGTAAACAACAACAACAACATGTAGAAAAGTGCTCGATACTTACGCTTGACTTTCTCGGGGTTGGGCTGATTGCGCTGAGACATGGTGATGGTGAAAAGAGATGATGGACTTCGAAAAAAAACTGCAAACTTGTTCCGGAGAGCGATCAAAATGGCGTATTTGAGGATGTGCAAAGTTCGCCAACTGGATACTTCTCTTCGCCCACTCTGTTAGCTCCCTAAAGGAATGATGGCCATCGAAACTGCCGACGAGTGAGGGTCAGAAAAGTCACTTTTTCCTCAAAGTGTGTTCCTGAGCGCTGCTCAGTGAACGTGATAAGTAGACGCATCACGTGTTGCTCTAGTCTCCAAGGGGACGTGTGTTACTGAGGCTGCCACTGGAGTTCAGCTGTGAGCATCTCTACGGGAGGGGTGGAAAACTTTACCCCTTCAGCCTCATCCAACTGATTATATTCGAGATAGATAGATAGATAGATAGATAGATAGATAGATAGATAGATAGATAGATAGATAGATAGATAGATAGATAGATAGATAGATAGATAGATAGATAGATAGATAGATTGATCGATAGATTGATCGATAGCAACAAGTGTGTAACAACGGCTTTTAAAGCATATACCCAGCTAACACAGTTACATACAAACAAAACATTAGGCATACAAACATTTTGTGATAGCCTACATAAAAGTAACTATTTATTGCCTAAAACGCATATTTATTTCGTGTAAATAATATAACCTAATAGACAGTGACTATTTATGTTGCGTAAACGATATAAAATGACTGAAAATGTAAACGTGATAGCGACGGGACCCCAGTATCACTATGTGAAAGGCAGTTGATGATGCAACACACCTCGCGCTTTGGCGCCTTCTTTCTATCACAAGACAAACACCTGTTGGTCGTCATATACTGTGATGGAGCATCCGTCATCTAAAAAATACTGTGGAAGGGCCTTTAATTGTTTCAGAGACAAATGATGAGATAAATGTCAAAGAAAGACGAAATAATTTCAGGCAACACCCCATTCTATAGCCCCCACTTTATAGAATTTTCTGTGAAAATCGACAACATGTGTAAATCCTGCCTCTGAATATAACTCAGTATGCAAACATATTAAAAAATAAAGTCCTTTTAAAGTTTTGTCTATAGATAAAGATATACTAAAGATATAGTTTATATTTTGATATTTCTAATATTTTTGATTATTCACTGTGCAAATACTTTTGTAAAAAATGTGTTGCTTCACCACCATGATTGTAAAAAAATATCTCCATGGAGATGTATTTGGTTACAATGTATAGTTTTTGGCATAAACTAATTAATTAATTAATTACTAATTAATTAATTAATAAATCGTAGAAGAGTTGAGATTAGGCTGTTTATTATTATTATTATTATTATTACTACTACTATATTCCCACCACCATGCTGCATATTTTGCTCAATTTGAGTGAAAAAATTAATATATAAACAAATAAATAATCTATGACAGATGCTTCCATTTCATAGACTTTATGGTGAGGACTTTACTATTTTTTCAACACATTTATCTTTAATCATCATTATCATTGCTTGAAATTTGCATAGGCTAGTTAAAGGGATAGTTAACCCAAAAATGAAAATGTTGTCATCATTTACTCATCTTCATGTTGTTCCAATGGACCAAACCTGTGTTAGTTTCCTTAGGGGGGAGTCAATGGCTACCGTCAACTATGGAAGTCAATACCGCCAACTGTGGAAGTCAATGGCTACCGTCAACTGTCTGGTTACCAACAATCTTTAAAATATCTTCTGTGTTTAACAGAAAAAAGAAACTCATACAGTTTTGGAACAACTTGAGGGTGTGTAAATAATGACCACATTTTCATTTTTGAGTGAACTATCCCTTTAACTCATTTGACTGCATGTGTCTGAAAAACAGTTAATATGCATCTCCTTTAGTGGTTTAAATAACTCTTACTGAGATAACTTAGGCTACCTGAGAGGTGTCACTCACAGAAGCAGCATTGGCTCTGTGAGTGTGTGTTTGTGCTGCCACTAGAGAGCAGTCTCTGCTCCACCTTATGTAATCAGTGACCTTGTGTTGGTACTAACTAAGCAAAATCTCTGACCCACAGTGACCTGGATAATTGCCTCTGGTCTACATAGTGTTCTCCATCCTGCAGAAAACTCCAAGTTCCTTTGTATTAACATGATTATAGCCCCCCTTTTTAGCTTTATTTTCTTTATTGTTTCATTTAGACACATTAGCTAATATTCATAGAATTTGAAAAAAGGAAAAATTGTTCGCATAGAATGATATTTACCAACTCTAAAGTGAAAACTGAAAAAGTGACGAGGTTGAACACAATGAATGTGGCATTGAAAATAATGCTGACAGTATATGGCAATACAGCTATCGGGTAGGCTACAACTCATCTTTGTTGTAAAGAGTGTGAGAGCGTGTGCTGATGCACGTATTTATGATCTAATATTTGAAATACCTGTGTATGGGCATGCGTTGTGCGTCCAGTAACTTACATATACATACACATAAGCCTTTTTTTTGACAACAGTGCCATCTGATGGCAAATGATATATGTGCTGCTTAAAACTCTATCCTAGGCTACTATTTTATTCAGACAGTTTATTCTTGAGCCTCTTACTATGTGTCATGAGTAGGCTACATTTTAAATATTTGTGTCAGAAAGAAAAACTTTATAAAATGCTGAATTTTGTTGTAAAACACTAGGACAATATATGATATGATATCATATATTACATGATCTATAGCTATCATATCTCATCATACGAGATGATTAACATAATTACGAAATGCTCCCAGATTGCATTAATCTACAAGATTTTTTCTAATGGAATGTAAACGCACGTAGAACAATCTGCAGTAAATCCCTGAAGGCTAAATGTTGTTGTTGTTAATAATTATGTTGTTTCAAATAGGCCTATTATTCGCTTGGGAGCGCGTTCTTTCCCATAATAAATAAAAGCGCGCACTCCTGACTCTGGTACCCATTTAGGCTATATGACTATGCTCTATGCTGTAAGAAAAGAGCACTGAATAAAAGATGGATAGAACATATGTGCATGATTCGTCGCGTAAGTTCCTCTTGGAAATTAAAATTCTGATTTCACTTAATTTGGGTTACAAAGGATTACTGAAGAACTTGTAGGCTACTAGGCTACTACTTTTTTAATTAGAAAATAATTCAAACGTTTACTATCAATATAAATTATAGGATGCTTTTACTGGAATAGCCTATATTTGACAGTGATTCAGATAAATATGCAGTATGAAATTAAATCATTTGATATTTAAACGTGAGGTTTTGTCTGTCAGGTGCACGCTTACGTCATCATAGCGCAAGAAAGTAAAGGGGGAGTGTAAGAGTAGCTAAGTGACATCTCTGTTTCTCTACAGTCCACAGTTTCTCTACAGTTATCTCTATCAACCGGTTTGGATTTCGAGACAGAAGTAGTTTAATTCCCCTTGAGATGCAGCAGTTTCCCGATGCGCTTTCAGACCTCCTCCACTATTAGGCTAATCTTGTTAATCGTAGGATGGGAGTGACTTCGACCGATAAATACAACTTGGTACTTTTCACACTGGAATTAGGTGAGTCAATTAGTCTTTTTTTTTTTTTTTTTTCAATTGTAAGTTATTGAAAAAGGTCCAATTCAATTTTCTAACTTTGCACACCCTTCAGGTCAGTAAAAAATATATTTTCATTTAATGTAGGCTATAGCTACTGAATGTTTCTGTGATGGTCCGAGTTTAGTTAATTTTTGGGTGTTTAAATTGAGGATTTGATAAATTCCCTTTAAATGAAAACAAGTTGTGTGTATTATTCCGGCTGATTCTGTTGTATCTCAGTTTCATTGGTTCAGGCAGCATGTGCTGGAGAAACATGTGAAAACGTATTTAAAGGTTTCTCAGACTGCCTGCTCAGTCTTGGAGAAAACATGGTGAACTATCCCCAAGAGCTGGATGACAGCGAAAACCTACAGACCATCTGCTCGTAAGTACACACTGTCTGCAATCATTTCTGGAAGAAGCTAAGCATTTCATATCTGGTGGTCCTTCTCATCATGTTTTAGATTTTACATATCTATGAGCTGAACTCATGCCATCCATGACTCAGACTCACAATACTGAAATATATTTCATTTGCAAGGAATAAAACAGATTGTGCACCTTGTGTTTATCCTCATGCAGATATTGGAATGACTTCCACTCGTGTGCCTCCACCGCAATTGCAGATTGTCAAGAAGGAGCAGGACTTTGGGAAAAACTGAAACTGCAGTCCCGGAGCTTGAACTACCAGGGAAGCTTGTTTGAATTATGCTCCGGGGATAATGGAGTATCCAGAGTTTTATTACCAATGGAACTGAAGATACTGCTGATGTGTTTCACCACTTTAGTGGCTTGGCTTGTTTTTGAGTAAGAAACCTGAAGACCTGACCTCAAACAAGTTCCTAAATGGATTAAATGCACCCCTTTTTCTCTTCAGCTGAATCAATTTATGTTTTGATGCACATAGACTTCTTGGCAAAAAAAGAAGAAGGAATAATTCAGAAATGACTTTCTTAAATGGCCTTATTTTTCCCCAAAAAAATTTGAAGACAATTTACACTACAAATCTTATGAAAATATATATTTTAAAATACAATTGTTTTGACCATTGGTGTGTTCTGGACCAATAATATAATCTTGTTTTATTATTTAAAGCACGTCTAAATGATCTGATAAGCACATATTTAACAACACATAAATAGATTATTTTAAAAGTTTCAATAGGTTCAATCTCATTAGAAAGATCCTGAGATTACAGTCCTGCTCTTTCACCCCCTCCCAGTACATCAAGTTACTTTAAATAAAATAAACAGTGGAATGCAAGCAATTCCACAGCACTGTATATTTTTCTATGAGGAGTTGCATTTGCTCATTTAAAGGTACGGAGCCTCTAGCGTTTTTCCCTCTTTAATGACAGCAGAAAACCTGAACATCTGTCTAAAGCAAGACACACACACACTACTACATATTAAAATGGAGGGAACATGTTCGTTGGAATAATAATGGCAGGAGAAGCGCAGATGCTCTCTTTCCTGTAAATCCCAGCCCTTGAAGGACCATGACGGCCTTGTTATTAACACGTGCTGCACTGACGGTCCAAATCGTTCCCTGCAGGGATTGTGCGTCCATCGACTCATGCACATCTGTCTTTTTGTTTGCTACACAGCCTGACGTGAGCAAAATAAAAGCAGATCGGATACAGTCACCTTGAGAGTATATTCTGTAAGTGGGATAAGATGTCTGAGTGGAAAATGAAAAAAAGAGTTGCTTCAATTATTAAATCAATATCGTTTGCATCTCATACATGCAAATGACTTGTCTCTGCAATGTACATGCAAGATCCAGAGCAGAACATATAAGTAACTCATAAGTGTTTAATAATTTAGGGACTCTTCCAGGCTCAGGATAGCATCATAACACAATAAACCACTCAGATTGACACGATCGCTTTGCATGTTTTTGGCAGTAAAACTATTTTCACTTGGAGATTTTTGTTGCAGGAAAACATTATACGCTTGTCCCGTCTTTGATAACATTTGATAAGACCAGGTGGTTAATTGTACATGTCATAAAAAAAAGTTTAGTATAAGTGAACGCCTCTGATGATAATCATTATGTGTAATATTTAAGACGTTGTCAGAGCAGATGATAGCGGTTGATATCTGAGGAGTCAGAATGTGCTCTTTACAAACACCTGCTGTCTAGAGAGGACATTAATGCTCAGATGTATTTAAAGACTGTCAAACAAGTCTGCATCTGTATTATTGAGCAATTATTCGTCTGTGCATCAAAAATGTCTTTATATGCAAAATATTGGACTACAGCTAATCACTGTCGTAGAAGGCCATTGTTCTGTCATGTCTGAATCTCTCTCATCTTCAGTTTTATGGCTACGAAAGCAATGAGACCAGGCTCTTTGTGGTTGTTAATAATGCAGGAGGTTGTGTGAGTAAATGGGGCAGGCGGTAGATCCTATGTGGACCCTGTGGAAATGGAAGCAGTAGAGCAGAGGATGAATAATACACACAGGTGACATGTTTGAATGGAGAAAGTCAAATAGAGACACTGAGGCTTTGAAAGCTCCTGCTCAATGCTTTGAAAGCCATTAAGACATTTGAAATTAATTAAATTCGGTGTGGATGTACTTTAATAAACAGAGGTTACTCTTGTTCTCCAGCTGGCTTTTCATCTGAATGATAGAGCATAAATGTGCTACAGTATTTTTTTTTTCTGCTAAATGAAAACATTAACCAAGAAACAAACAAACAAAAAAATTGACTGCTGATGAAATGGTAAACACTTTCATTCCTTGATTGTGCACCACTAAACAAATAAATAAACACACACACACACACATATATATATATATATATATACACACACACACATATATAATTAAATAAACAAATATGAATGCTGCAATGGTAGTGTTTATTTCCAGAAGTGTCATCTTCAGATATCACACAATGAGTGCCACAGTGGGTATATAGTATTACATTATGTTTACTAGTTAAATATCAGTAAAAGATACATAGGGCCTATACTTTAGATCTGATTGGTTCCAATTTGAATCTATGTTTTTTCACTAGTCGTGATAGTGTGATGCTTACAGTCATAGAAAGAGACCCCATCTGCCACAGTCAACCATGCGGCCCTGGGGATCTTCTGTGCTCTCCCCAGGCACAAACACTGTCGTGGACATGAATTTCTCTCAATAATGTTATGTTAGCTGCCCTATATAACATTCATAAATGGTAGCACTTGAAGTGCACCTTGAGTAAATTGTATTTCCATTTAATATACTGCCTTATTGAAAGTAATTTTGCTACTACTGCAAATGAAAACTGAAAATGGCTTGTTTAGCTGCTAGAGATGGTTCATTTTTATGATGGTGTCATTATACAATAGCTTTGTAAGGTTGCTTGCTTACAGGCACTTGGCACAAAGTAAGGAGTAATTTTTTTTTTTTTTTTTTCCCTCCTTTTTATTCACATGGTCAGTGAAATTACATACTTAACCTTCAGAAAATGTTGACAAAATTATAACTGTCTGGTTAACGGTTGGATACAGTTGAGAAAATCAAGACCTGTGGTGGGACAGGTCAAAATTTGATGCCTTTGAAACTAGATAGCTACTTTTGGTGCTTATTTATATATTATATAGGCTAATTATACACACCAAATATGACACGACAAAATATAAGTATGGAAGGCTACAATTATATTTGTGCCTCTAATGATTTAAAGAAATGTAATGTATAACACCAATGTATTGCGCCTACAGTTTGCCAAATTACATCATGCAGGTAGGTAACTGAAATGCCATAACTCTCTTGTGGGAATGCACGTTGTGTATTGCATTCCACTGCCCGAGGGATCCTGACACTAGATGGCGATGTATCAAATGCAGCAACACACGAGAAGAAGAACGATGACACTAAAATCAACATGGCGTCGTGCAGTCGGGCTCAAGTTATCTCACTCTACAGGATGCTTATGAAAGAGAGCAAAAAATTCCCCTCATATAATTACAGGTACGCCTGTACTCTTCCGTGTGAAATATAGTCTATATATGATATAAATGTATATGTTCTCGCATTTTATGTCTCGTTTTTTCACTTTTAGTTTATTTTTGCGTATAGGCTGTGAACACGTGTAGTCATTTGAATTATAAGCGTTTCTGTATGTAACTTATATGGCGCATTTAAATTAGTTTTAAAATCAAACGATTGCTTATCTACTGTTTCTTAACTAAAAATACTGTTTGTTTACAGAACATACGCACTTCGCAGAGTGAAAGATGGCTTCAGGGAGAACCTTCATGTTGAAAACCCCAAAACACTGGATATGCTCATAAATCAAGCTAGAGAGAATCTGGCGGTCATCAAGAGACAGGCAAGCAAAGCCAGCCTTTGTTTGATATTCCAGTATTGTTTTTATGGCCAAAGAACAACTAAACTTGAATGGCCTGATTCAAATAACAGAATGTTCCCATTTCGAGAGTAATTGGTAATTTTTTATGTTCTACATCTAAGACAGTATCACTTATCTGTTTTTCACAGGTTTCCATTGGCCATCTGTATTCTGTTCAGAGGACTGTTGTTGAAAGAGAGCCTCATTTGTAATGTTCAGCACCAAGAGTGTCCATACAGTATGGTTGTGAATGACAAATCTGTAAGCTGCACTACTAGTCCTGTGTAAAATTGTAATGTAGTAGAGTATACTGTAAATGTATGGTGATGTAATATTTTTTTCAGCAAATAAATAAGATGCATATAGAGCATGGCTAGCATACAAGATTTGAAAAAACTATTTAGCTTTGCAGGTCAACAAGGCATATTACAATACTGAACATACGGGGGAAGATCCCCCTTACATACTTTTAAATTGTCATATTGTCTAAATAATTTTCATGTGCAAAATGATGATGCATCAGATAATTTGTTATTATGGAAAATAGCCTAAATAAAAATATTTGCTAATTTATTTGTCATAGTACAACATGTAAAATCGCTGGAGTAAGATTATAGCAGAAGATGAAGATGCTGAATCATAGTTAAAGCAGATTAATCTGTAAAGTAAACTTATTCTAGGCATATGAATATATACATGTTTAATTGCCCATAATTTTATTGAAGATGACTTACACTCTGAAGGATTGCTCTATACATTTGAATGAATAGCAAAGATGTCACTCTGAAATGTATATGTAGCTCATGGAATAAAACATTTAAAAATAATAACAACATGGGGCCTTGTGTGTCAGCAAAAACAGTATTTTTTACTCCACAAACCTTAAAATAGTATTTTGTCCACAAATCCCTTATTTACAAATAGACACAAAACTCTATTCAACTTATGTCACAGATCACTATTTTCCAGAAAGACAAAATTAGATCAATTAACCTCAAAACTGCTTTAAATGAATAGCCCACATCTTACAAATGCTGATACTAAGATGTAATGACAAAATTGAGAAGAGCATATCCATTCATTAAAATGTGTTGAGATGGGACTTTGTGCCAAATTTTGTCAAAGTGAAAAGAATTAGGTTAGGGAGTCACCCTATCTTACCCTATCCACCTTTTTTTCAACGTGGAAGTAAGCTGTTTTCTGTGAATGTGTGAGAAATAACGGGAAGAATAACAATGTTCAGTAAATGGTAAAATTGTTTGTGCTACAAAAACCAATGCGTTTATAATTGACAATACATTCAAATAAGATGGTAAGAATTGCCAGCTGTTTTTGTACAGCTAAAAATAACGAAGCGGATGACATTGGAAGCCAGCTAACATAAGGTTAGCACGACTTAAGCCTATTTATACAGATTAATGCAAATTAAAAGTAAAGTTCACTTTATTGAACTAAATGTAAACTGTCAGTCTGATTCCCTTAAATCACCATGAAATTCAAATGAGCAATTCTTGTTTTTTTTTTTATGGAATAATCCTAATCTGTAATCAAAGTAAACTTCCCCTTCCTGTTGCAACCACATCTCTTCTCTGATGACGTGTTTACTGGCGTGAGGGCGGGACAACCTGTCACTCACATGACATCACAGCAACAGCAAACTACTACCATACAATGATCCAATCAATTCCCAATAGACAAAGTCAAGATCCACCCTACATTTTTCTTGTTCGAAAGGCCGTTTCATTTGGATATAGGCCACAGAGAAGAAAGCACAATCGTGATTTCAGTTTCATGCTGACTTTAAAGTGTAGTTCTCTCCATCATTATTGTCCCAGTATTCCCCGTGATCAGTCTGACAATACACTGCGAAATGCACAGATGAATCTTTGTTCAAAAAGAGCGGTGCGTGCAAAATAAAGTCGAACAGTTCCCACTGTAGCACTTTTTCTTCATTCAGTCTTAATACAGCTTGGATATCCGAAAATGTCAGCCAGTTGTTTACAGTGTACCTGACCCCAACTTCTCTTCTTGCGTTGCTCTGTATCACTCTGATCACGCCCTTCACTTCAGAAGCGGTTATTGTGACACTCTCCAATGCGACTCCCAGACGGCTTGACTTCATATCAAACTCCAGCAAACTAATAGGCATGTCAAATGCTGGCACTAAACGTGCTGGAATCAGATCACTGCCATGTTGAAGCTCTTGGTTTGGAGGATGATGCCGGAGTCCAGATGACACATTGCACGTTTCATTTGCATCATCAGAGATGTCAAAGTGTCTGATGTTTGCGAGGTTCAGCCCCATCATGTCTGCAAACTGAACTCTCTTTCCACGAACTAGATTCTTGTGTGAGAAAGATTCATCCTGATATAGATCTACAGGCAGAGATTTGGCTCTTTCCCTGTCTGTTTGGTGAGTCTTTGGTGAATAAGGTGATAATTTGTCATATTTTGATGTGTGTTCTGGTTCAGACAGACACTCGGTCACGGCTGAAGTTCCCTCTGACCAGGGACGGACTGGGACTAAAAAACGGCCCTGGACTTTGACTAGGCCCGGCCCAAAGCAATCGGTGCGCGGAAACTCGACAACAACAACAATAACGCCTGCCATGAGTGTCACTTTAACTGTGGCTCATGATACTATACCATCCAAATTATAGCTAACAGCATATTATACAATCTATTCCATGCTGTCTTAAAATGAATTTATTACTTAATAATCTTAATTAGTTTATGCAGTAATTAATCTTAGCTACTGCACAAATAATACCACATCTAAATGAAAATACACCATTACAAATGTAACTTCTGTATTCAAAATCTTCAAAGTTTGTAAGCATTAACTGTAACATTACCAACATTTTAAAAAGTAAAAGCACAACATATTTCTTAATATTAGCAACTGCATGTGGCATTTTACAGCTAAAATGTTGAAGTTTAGCTGTTTTAACTACTGTAATCATTAAAAATGTAGCAAGCTGAATATCACTTCCTAACATCATCCCTAGCAAGTAACTTGGAAAGTAATTTCTGATTAATTCGGTTCGGGAGTAGTAGAGATAAAAGCCCGCCCACACTGAAAATTGATTGGTTGGGTCCTTACATGCGCTTCGTGAGGGACACGCGCACACTAGCACACACGCGCACACTAGCACACACACGCAATCTCTCGCTCCCTCTCTCTCTGCCGTGCACGCGCTACGCATGCGCGCTCTTGCTCGCTCTAGATTCCGGGAGATTTTAACTAATTTGCGGACATCAGGGAGCCACTATCAATATGCGGGAGACTTGGGATGTGTGTGGCGGCTGGTGGGCCGGCCCGCCGGCCGTTCTGTGATTCTCCAGATCACACAGATGGCCAGTCCGCCCCTGCCTCTGACTGCTCAATGTCCATCAGCATTCATCACATTGACCAGTGCAACAAGTAACCGAGGAGCAGAAAGTCTTTTAAATATGAAAAAGGGACCTGTAGTTTGCGTAAGAAAGATGCTTGACAAATACTACATGCACACGAGTTGCGTCACAGCAACGTCACCTGTTTGCAAACAAATTGATGATGTCTAATCAGAAACAAATGACTTTTAGCCATTAACAGCCAAGGGGCTTTAATTGGAGCCTTAGCTAGTCTATTAAATGAAAAACAATTTTACATCTGCACCCAAGAGCATTAAAAAAAAAATGCTCTTCAATGTTTGAAAAAAATGTTTTTCAATAAATACCCCCCCCCCCCCCCCAACCCCCCCCCCCATTAATTCATATGTATCTTAGCTATAGCCCAAACGCTGATGGATATTTTGTTCCCTATAGTTAATGAACTGTAATAGTTAATAATAACATCCAATCTTTAAAGTCTCGTTTAGTTTTCCACTGTCTGTTATTCCAGAATAGGCTCTGTCAATCATTGTCTAGTTCAGAAACACGATGACGAACAGCAGAGGGCTCGTGCGCACATGGCAGAGCCTGAACGAGCACTTTTTTTCTGCACATGGATCTGTTTACTCTGTTCATGACGCAACAGAGTGCAGTAGGGTTTTATATGTAAGCTGAAACGATATTCCTCGAGAAACCAGTCGAAATGTGCAGGGGAAAGTTCAAGTATATTTGCATTTCATATAGGCCTAGCTGTCATAAAAATTTACAGTGTACAAACTTTACACTTTGTAAATAAAAGATGTATTAATTTATTTATTTATAGACCAATAATACATTATATTATATTATTATTCAGTTGATTTTCTCCAGAATTTCAGTTAATCCAGTAGAATCTCGTTTTAATTGAGAATATTATAGGCTATTGTCTTATCTACTTAGAGCGTATTCATTAATAAAAAATAGATTTTGAGTTATAAAGCAACATTAACATTACTACAGATTTTTTTTGTCTAAGTAAATAGCACAAGCTTATACAGTTTATATAAGTCTATCTAAATTCTTGTTCCAATAGACCCATCTTTTCCTTTGGTATAATTTACTTGCCTTCTTTTTTTTCTTAATTTATTTTCATGGAATGTACATTAACTCTAAATCATTGTTATAGGCTAATCTAAACTGTTTTATTTTTCTTATTAAGAAAACCAAAAGTAGACGGGATGGCATCCAAATCAATCAATCAACATTAAAAAAACAAAATGAAATAAGATGGAGGCAAGTATAAAAAGGCTAGCCTAAATCGTAAAATAAATACCATAATTCTAAACACAATAACAGCCATTTAAATGAGTACAAAATAACTTAAGGGTTATTAACAAAATATTTGAGCTTATCAAATACATTTAGCCAATCAACGAAATCTAACAAAATCCCATTTTTGTCTTAATTTTGACAAGAATTATAGATTGTATCAGACTTATTAATTACTACAAACGTGGAGACTCTAAAAATCTTTCATAAAACTGTATTTACCCATATTTATTAGATATACAAAAGCCTAGTTCAAAACAGCAACCTTTTTCTCAGTAAACCAACTCTGCAGTCTGCACCCACGAACTGTTTTATAATACACTACTCTGCTCTGCTGTAAGCAGGAACTGACGTCAAACGTTTGCGACAAGTGAAGGTGCCACTATTTTGAAACCTTACCCCTATGCGAAGAAGTTCAGTTTAATCAGATCGGTTATCTTTTTTTGCTGCTTGATGTCATAAAAAAATGTAGATATTGCACATAGTTGTCAAAATGTCGCCAGAGCTGGAAAAGTTACCGAGAAGCCTGTTGGTGTGCGAGAAATCAAACTTCTTGAATGAAAAGTCTCGGCATGACATCCACGTGTCGAAGCACAACTTTAATTACAAGGTGGGTTTAATCACTAACGTTAAACATCTGCTCAACATAATCATTTTACAACTCTGCTCATATTGTCTTTGGGTCGCGATAGTTGCAGACGGAAATGTGTCGCTTTCTCTGACTGTCTCCACAGATCTCACTGCTGATCCCTGAATGTGGGATCCTCCCTGCAAACATCAGCAGAGTGATCAACAGCTTCAGCCCTTATTATCTAGTGCGGAATCTGCCTGTTTATGAACTACTGGAAGAAACATTCCTTGAGACACTTGTAAAGAATGGTAGGAGGGGAAAATGTGCGGATTTCCTTTGCTATTTTTTAGTATTGAAATAGATTAAAAAATATATATATTTTTTTTTAACACAGGAAACTTCTATGCGCTCTCTTATAACACCAAAATTGATGAAGATAATTCCATTGCACTTCTTTCCAGTGGTAAGCAAGATAACTACACAGATTAACATCTCTATGAATCTTAGTGTATGTAAAGATCCCATGAAATCAGTGGTTTTCAACCTTCTTGACTTTTTGATTTCTTCTATAGTTATGACAAAGCTTAATTTACATACTTATACATATTCATTTCATACTGTTTTTTCCAGGTCAGTTAATTTTGTCTCTAGATAAAGACACATATGAACAGCTTGGCTTGGAGGGACGACCATCTCAGTACAATCACAAAAAGGCCATGAGATTTGGTAAATGTCTTTATTCTTTCTGAGTAGCATGAAATGAAGGTGTTTTAATCTTTGAACAAAAAAAGTATTCAATAAATATTACAATTATAAAATGTCTTTGTTTTGCAGTCGTGACTCTGGACCTCACAGACAAAAGCTTGACTCCAGGCACCAAACGATACCAGCGGGTTCTGTCAAGTATAAAACACAGACTACCACTCAGATATGACTTTCTGTTTACTAAATACAACACAGGTTTGTAGCAAGTAATCCATCATTACCGTCACTGACCTTAAACATATTTCTCAATTGCCTTAGCCTTTTGCATTCATGATGCTTTCAGGTGCAGATGAAGATAAGATTCTTTCCAAGCTGTTGTCCCAGTACACATACGAGGAGCACAAGCCTGCTTTTAGCCATCACACCCTGAAAAATATACCATGTCCCACACTTAACCCATCAGATATACAGGGAAAGACACTGTCATGTGACCCACATCACTTCTTGGAGTGGCTTGGAGCTGTTAACTTGGACATCAGTTGGTGAGCGAAGGCTAGTCACTATATCATGCTGTGCTCTTATATGTTTGTGATTTGTTAAATCTGTAAATTGACTCCATATATTGTACAATGACTACTTAAAGACTCTGGCACAAATTGACAATAATGAAATTACTATGACAATTTGCTTCACAAAATGGAAAGGAGTTCCTTGTGTTTTCAACTATATTTCTAAATTGAATTTTCTCAGTGAAAATGCTGCCGACAGTTTCCTGTCGACATATGTGTGTCCGGAGCCCAAGAGTTCTGTCAATCAAGCCTTGCTGTGCACCGTTACTGGCTTTATCCCACCTGAGAATGTGTTTTTGCTGCTGCAAGAGCTAAGGTGAGACCCCTACATTACCATCACTAACTATATTCCAACTTAATATGCAGACAACTACAAGCAAGCCATTAGTAAGATAATTCACAGGTAAACTCTTTAGTATGACTTGTATACCAAAGCATGTGTAAAGTACTGGATTATAATTTTAACAATAGTGTTATTCGACAGTAAATGTATTAAATTGCAACTTCATCATTACAAATGTGTAATTACGAATATATTTTAATACATGACATACAAGTTTTAATAGAAGTGACATTAGAGTATATTTTAGTTTAACTTAAAAGCTTGTCAGGTTACACTTTATTTTAAGGTGTCCATTACAGTGTAATTATACATTTAAGTACTGAGTAATAATAATTAACATGTACTTAGTTTAGGGTTTGGTTTAGTTGCATGAAATTATGCATAATTTAGTTATTACTACAGTAACATATGTAACAAGGACACACTAAAATAGTGTTACTGCTTGTCACTGCATTCGGCAGTTTAACTATATTTCAAGGATATTTCTAAATTTCAGCAAATTGCATTTAATATTACACATTTTACAATTAGGTGTCTGAAAACTTAACGTTCAGTTTGCACTTGAGTATAATTTTCCATAAGTGTTTAAGGAGATGCTTGCAGTATAAAAGTGAGCATATTTGAAACTTACAAGCTGTTTATTTCTCTACCTCGGATCATCCAGGCAGTATTTCAATGAACCGAAGTTTACACCATGGGTTTCCCTCACTGTGCATGGATTTATGGATAGTCCTGTGTCATGGGGAGCCACAGAACATGGGTTCTTCAAAGGTGGTGAAAACTTCTACAATTTTGTTTTCTTCAAAAATCAGGACTACTGGTTACACATGGCTGTCGGTGCTCAAGATGGCTGCCCACCATGAAACAATGGACGTTTGACATTGAGGATATGAGACATGTTGTGTTGAAATGTAAAATACAAACGTAAATGTATGATGTTGGTTTTTATTCAAATTAAATTATAAAAGCACAAGAGTGGGTAAAAAAAAAAAACCTTATAGTATATCAATTTATTTGGACCAGGCATTTCACAGCTGTTACATGTTCTGAAAAACCTAAAAAAAAAAAAAAAAAAGTCTTTACAGATTGTACAATTTATAGCATTTAGTATACCAACTATAAGAAATAAGCCTTGCCATTATATATAAAAAAAACTAATTTGGACCAGCATTTGAAACTAAAGGCAGATCACATATGTACAGCTATGCTAAAATTCAGAAAATGAGGATAATATATATAATTTTGTCAGTGAAGTGACTGGAACAAAGCAATTTTTCCCTCCGGTGTAGTCCGCAATGTTTTACATCAAACTGCAACACCCTGGGTACAGAATTCAAAATTTAAAGGAGTTCCTGGTGTTTTTGACTATTCAATTGTGTATTTTTTTCAGGTTATTAACAGATACTGAATTGTAATTATCACAGATCAAACTAATGTTTCATTGACATCAGTTTACCAGAGTTTACATAACATCACATACAAGTAAAAAAGTAGAAGACATTATTAATGTCACACTGCACTTCATAATCAAATATAACCTGCCACATTGTTTTGAAAAAGTAATTCAAATAACTGAACAAAAGCATTCAATAAGTATAGTAAGAATGAAAACAATTCTATTTTCACAATCATAAATATAAAACCATAAACAGGAATTAATTTGACAAAATAATTTGGGAAGGGAAAAACGTACACAACCATCTGTTATTCCATGTTATGGAACCACTGCAGCAAAGTCTATCTATGGTCAATAAATACTGAATAGAATTAACAACATATATAATTTACACATTTTATTGCTGGGGCTGAGCTGATTAATTAGTGAATTGAATTTTGCTTACCTGTAAAGTATTGAGTCAGACCAATTTAAAGCAAAACCTTTGGAGCAGAACATTAAGAAATAGTGCATAGATATAACTGTACCAGAAACATGATGTAGAATGGGATTTCCAAAACGAGTAAGATTTAAACCAGACGCTTCATTGCTAAAAATCATATTATGGATTTCGAGAGGTAGAACTTTAGAACTGGGGAATAAAATATTTCTACAGGTAACTTTTTGCAAAGTCACATTAAGCAATTTACGTGGACCGTTTCGCAACCCATTTTCCTAAACCTACTCCATTCCCACCCACAATAACAAAACAAAACTGAAAGATAGCCATTCCATTTAATAATAGTGCATACTAGCTAGTAACTACATATGTTTGTGATGGATTTCAGTAGGATCTTCCCTTAGAGATGGTTGTTTAATCTCCAGGGCTCATCTGATGATACAGCAGTCCAGTCTGTTTGAACCAGCAGAAAAAAAGGATGCAGATTTATATCGCCAGCACCCTTTATTGACTCATGAGGAACATACCCCATTCAGTTTCATAATGTCATAAGTTATTAAATTAGAAATATTGTCAACATTTACATAAATTATTTGGTGGTATAATGTTACTCCAAAGCAAACAGTTTGTATGCCGAGAACATACAAACAAAACTATAATTAAGCTGAAACCTTTTAAAATGAAGCCAGCAAAACATACAAATGTTAACTTTAATACAAATAAATGTTAATTCCTACTAAGCCAGCGCCTTGCAAATCCATATGTACTTAAGTATTCATTTTGTTCACTTTAATGCATTAGTAGCTTTCAAGTCAAGATGATGCTAGAAAAGAACTGATGCTAAATCCCTAAGCACTGGTGTCATTTTCATTGCTGTCAATGTCTGATCTTCTCCTCTCATAAAAATGACTACAAAGGGCTGACCGATGTAAATGCCTGCAAGATTTGCCTGAATATTCAGGGTGAACAAGGCTTGAGATGTCTTCTAATTGATGTAATAAAAGTACCAACTAAAAAAAGCCTGCTACCGACTATAAAGTCTTGATTATAATGGCAATCTGTTAGTTTAGGGGTAACCAAACTGAGACGAGTGCAAAATTCAACTCATTCAAGTCTCATAAGTCTTAAATTACCCTGACATTACTCATCTTTTCTCAATCAGTCTGCATAGGAGGCATGTCGAAAAATAGCCCAAAACCATATTACCTCTATGACAAAGCAATTCAGGACTTTAGTCCTGATAAAACAGAGATTGAGCTGAAGGATGAAAGGAATTTACATGCATCGAGGCATTTTGTCCTTCACCACACTGCCTAGAGAAAGATGTGCAAGATTCATCACAAACTTTGCATTAAAGTCATTATCAAGTGTAGCAGAATGAGATGCTGCTTTCTGCAGTCGGATGAAAAGGAAATATGTCCTGGACGAAGATGAAGTTGCGGGTTAGACCACGCCAGTCTTCCTCTGATGGGGAGTTCCATCAAAATCCTAATAAAAATGACAAACCTTGTCTATATAACATCAGGCACTTGAGGATGGAGGTTTTTGACACCCGTAGGACATTTAATCAATTTAGAATTCATCTATTTTCTTCTGGAGATATTTGAGTATGGAGTCCATGCCCTGAGGAGAGCCCCAGACCCTCTTAAGTGCCTCACATTCCCTCTCGTTGGCCTGCTCCAGGGCGGCCCGGTTAATGTTCCTCACCAGTGCTTTGGACTCGCGCAGAACCTTCAGTGTTTCCGGCAGCATCACCATGACAAAATAACATGAGGGGAACAAAATAAGGAAGAAAAGGAAAAGAAGGCACATGACTTATGGATGTGGATGCATTGTGAATTTGTAAAGAAGTCCACTGTTATCGCAACTGCATTTCAGCACAAAATACATAAATGTTCCTCATGACGTACTATTGATTCGTACTGATGTCTCAGAAAGGTTTAAAAGACTGTACAAACAGCAGAAGAATCACAGTTGAGGATCTAACTTATTTCCAATTTATTCTAGAAAGACTATCAAGGTCAAATGTACATGGTCTAAAATGAGACACCATCAAAGCAAAAAATTAAATAAAAATGAAAGGTTGAAGGGAATATGTGAATGTATGCTTTGAGAAAATGTGACAGGAAAAAACAAAACAAATGAAGAGATGACTTACAACTGAATTACAAGATACTAGCTCCTTAATGCGAACCATGACTTCCTGTGGGAAGGTCCCTGGCCACAGAACCTGGGACACGAGTCCTTTGGCACAAGCTTCCTGAGCAGTCAACTTCCTCCCGCTCAGTAGCATTTCATTAGCCTATAGTGACAGGAGAGAGAAAAGGAATCAGAATGAAGAGACAATAAGAAAATGCACCCATGTCACCTTATTTATTAGACATTTCAAACTTAATTCTTATGTTTAAAATTGTGTGATATTCCTTAATATAATGTCTTAATAAATTGTATATTTATTGTTATTACTTTGAGAAGTAGTAAAATATTGAGTTTCTGTGTGTATATAACGATTTTAATAGGGACTAGACTCTCATAGCTGCTCTGGTAATTAATGTTCACGTGGAGTGACGGCAGACGCTGAAAACACACGTGCTTGAGTATGTGTAGTGGATGAATTGCGGAAATCAAAAGTAAATCTACATGTAAATTGCCAATATAATTATTTGTCATGCCAATAAAGCACATTCAAAATAAAGCAAAGCAGAAGGTAAATTCACAGAGCCAAAGAGAATGATGGGCCAGCAGAAAACTTCAGAAATTATTTAATGTTAACACTAACTATTCTCCTCACTCAGTATAAATGTGTTTTAATATAAAAGGGAAAATTTATTCAAATATTTGTAACAATGTGTTAATGATTTTGTAATCATATTGTGTAGTACCAAATTGTGTGGACAATTTTTGGCCAGACTGTCATACAAAGAAATTATGAACACATGGAAAAACAAGAGAAAACCAACAAAAGTTTGATGATTCCAACTCCTGCAAGGACTTCAGATGACGCAAACTCTGAATCAACATGCACCAATGCAAAAATTTTCTAATAAAACGGATAATTCCGGTCCTTTCTGATTCTGATTGGTTGAGCCGCGTTCGAAGCCGTTGTAAATTACTCAACAAACATACACCTGTGACCGCATTACATTAGTATTACTGCACAACTGCCGTTTGTGATTCTTTGTTGCTGCATGTGTTGCTTGGCAACCTCTTTGGAACTACATTGCTTGGCGGAGGAATAAATGTGTTATAACGTTATATTTTTTGTTGCTGGTGTTTATTTTATGAATAAAATAAATATTAAAATTAATATTTTTATGGAGTAACCGTTTAATGGCTAAGGGGGTTTTAGGCGCTCCGCTCCGCGTCGTGCCGAACAACGCCCCTTAGCTGTTCTAAATTCACTGTAAAACACGGCTTCGCGGGGCTTATTGCTTTAATATATCCAAATAATTTAACAACATTTATTCATTACTTCAATGAGCTCATTGTTTCGGCCTTAAATTAATGCAATGTTATATAACTGTTTGATTTGTATTATGTACATTTCTGAAATACATAACTTGGACAATGTCACCTCTGATAACAGATCACTCTAAATTGCATTTTCTGTAAAGCTGCTTTGAAATGATACGTATTGTGGAAAGCGCAAAAGAAAGATTTATTAACTGATTATGATGTAGTCAAATGTACACTTTTTCCTTTGAGTTTTTTGTTTTTCTATGCATTTTTTTTATTTGCATAGTAAAATAAAACCTTTAGCTGTAGTTTGCCTTATTTTGGCAAATCATTTTCAGATAAATACCTTAACTAAAGTTAGTGTTTTATTCTTCCCTCATATATTTAAGATATTTCAAAAATATAAAATATTTTCCATTAAACACACCATTGTATGTGTGTGTGTGTTTAATGGCAAAATGAAATAAAGTGATTTCAAAATATTAGGGGGTCCTTGGATAGTTCACAAACAATGTACTTACATTATAAATGACAGCTCCTAGAAATAAATATTGATAAATTGGATATTAAAGTGTAAAAAGCCTTAAATGAGTCTTTCATCCAGACCCACACTATCGATGTACTGACCGAAGCTACTCCCATGATGAGAGGGAATGTTACAGAGGAGCAGGCGTCTGGAGTT